CTCATTGACTAGGAGAAAACAGTGGAGTTAGTCACCTGGCAAGGGACAAATGTCTAAATCAACAGATGTGGTGGACAAGGTCATAATATTGCCCCAGAGCTTGGGTAATAAGGACGTATGACTTAGCCAGGCCACTTTAAGATTGGGAAAATTCTTTTTATTGCTCAAAATATCAACCAAAGACAGTTTTTATCAAAGATGTCAGCTTCATAAAGTGATGGTGAGCAGGCTGAAATTAAGAGACTGTAATTTAATTTCCCACGGTAGTGTTTTTATGAGGCACTGGCCTTTCATGGGGTGTTATTAACAATACTGCTTGCAGACAAAAGACAATTGCTATACGAAGTTGCTACCAAAGTTTGCTTGGCAATTAAAACCTGTAGGCTACAGTTGCTGGGTTGAGTTTGTTTGTTTTTAATTTTGTAATAGGAGCTTTGCTGCACTCTGAGGTAAACAACCAATAATGCTTTATAGAGAACTGTGAGTTACACGTGTGTTACAGTATTTACTACTATCTCCTGATACCATATAGAAGCAACTGGCATGTCTTGTTTTTCCCTTGCACTAAGTGCCTGTGTTGACCAAAGAATGTTCTGTACAGGTTATCAGAACCAAAAGAAGGGAAAAATTGGCAAAGAAATGCTGTATTCTGGAAGGTTAATCATGTCCCACAAAGCTCAATCCTATGTACAGCTGAAAAATACAAGCAAATGAAATTAAGCTTTTCAATCTCCATCTCTAAGTGAGATGCTTCCAGTCTGTAGACCCTGGAGAGCAGATCTACCGATTCCAATTTTTTTCATGACGATTTGTGTTTCTGGATCTCTACATTGGGACTTGTGAGCACAAAAAGAAAAACAACCAAGGCATCAGTCCCTGTCAGTTGTTGTTTATTTTTTTCTTTAAGAATCACTGCACATTTTGTAGGGAAGCCTAACATGGATCCTCCTCCCACCAGAAAGGTTTGCACATGGTACAGTTCCAAGACCAACTCTAGAATCTGCTGCTTTACAACTTTCTTCTGTTCTGCTCATAGCATTTCTTAAAGCTCATAATATCAGAGTCTGTGTCAGTGGATTTTATCCTGTAAAGTAAAGATTATCTTGCTTACTTTCCATTTAGTGAGTTCTGATGCTTGTATTCTGACAGAAACTTGTGTTACATGACTTCAAGGTAATTGTGTTTAGTCATTTCTATATTTCTAGAAAGCTTTATTAAATCCTATATTCAGAATCTCATTTACAATGCAGAGTTCTTTAATAGACTATTATGTCTCTATAGAATAAAAGTACTATCATAAAATATTTTCTAACTAAAAATGAATCTGTTTAGTGATATTTTTTTCAAAGTCAGCTCCAAATAACTTTGGTTTAGAAAGAAGGCAAAAATCATTAAGTGACAAGTTGTCTGTGAAAAATGATATGTCAAAACAGTGTTTAGCTAACTTGTGCATACATTGGTTTGGGAGCCCAGTATACATTTTTCACGTTAACATTATACTGTAATGGTTTAATGTACCATGACAGTTAAAATTAGCACATTAGTAGGGTTCTTTCTTCTGCAACAGCTTACCATGATATTACAGAGCATCACACCACATGGCTTGCTTGCACACATTTATTAAGGTGCTATAGAAAAATCTTACCATTAAAACCTGAATAGCCTTGAAAATGAAGAAATGAAGTAGCTAGGGATTGGTTTAAAATTTCAGTGAAACCAAGTTAATGAACTTGTGTTGATATGTACAGTCATGCTTGTCTTCTACCCAATTCAAACACAGTGGCCATGGGACCTCTCATAATATCTGAGGCAAATTACTTCTCATTACAGCCAAAAAGGATGGAAAAGGAATTGCATCTCAGGGGATTATTTGCTTCCATTTTGATTCTGATTTTCTGTCTGCCCACATTACCAAGCTATCCATGTACTTTGAGATTATATTGGAAATGAGCACATCTTGGGTGGTTTGTTTTCTTTCTTTTCTCATCCACAAAATATGAATAGTTGCTAAAATACATATGATCAGGTACTTGTTGCTGTACTGTTTATAGAATCATGGACTGGAGCCTTTGAAGAGTGAAGATCCTCATGAGTTATATGACAGTCAGTGTGTCTTGGCAGCAACCACTTTGCTGTTGGCTATACATTGTTGATAGAAAATAGCATAAGGCTTTGCAGCACAATCAAGTTTGTGCTCAATGTAGTAATTTCCACTATATCCTCACTCTTCTTTGAAAAGAAACTGTGTGGAGGGGGAAGTAAAGCTCTGCCACTTTTACTTGGGTTAATTAGTAGGTTTTGCCACAAATAATCTCAATATAATTAATAAGATTGCAAAGTCCTATTCCAGGTGATAAAAATGAGATTGTTTTCATAGTCTGACAGGATGTGTGAAAGAACTAATCACCCCAAACATAAAGGCAGATATTTTGTTCTTGACCTATATAAAGAGAAAGAATATGGAGTCTCCTTTCTCTTTCACATATGGACTTGTCCAGTGTCCTTCAAAGCTGCTTGATTTAGAAATTATTTTTTCTTCTCCTTCCTACTTTGTGTTGTTATAATGGGAAATGAGATTTGTGTACAGTTTTGCCTTGCCCACCATTAAATGTTCCAGTTCTGGGGCTGCATCTTCTGACAGCAGTTGTGGGAAAACAAACAAGACCTAAGAAGAGTGTGGGGGATTTGAGCTGAGTGAGGATTTGAATAATATCATATATATGCAAGAGTCTGGTGATAGAATTTTCATATTCATTAGATGATCGTTTTGGACATGTTCAAAATGTTAAACTATACTAATTTTTCAACACCTAAGTAGACACAATGATTCCTGTTGTTAAGATAAATTTCCCACTAAATATGAATATTTTCTTCCATGCTGTACATGCTGATCTCACATCAATATGAGCAAGTCCATTTGATCTCCATTAAACTGAAATACTTTCTTAAGCTAACTGGGAGCTAACAATGTGGGAGCATTTGTCTGGATTTTTTTTCTTTCCCTTCCCCCAATCTGGTTAGAGGCTGAAGGAGTGACAGAGGCAAAAACATGTTATGTTTATAGCTTTTTTTTTCCCTCGAGTTACTGGGAACGTCAGCTGTTTGTTCTGACTTTAAGAAATGTAATCAGTGATGAGAAAAAAAACCTGCCAAAGGGATGTTCTCAGAAAATTAGTTCTATTAAAAGTTCAGCTGAAAATGAGTGCAGTGTCCAAGCTTTTTGTATTTGATTAATGACTAAAACTTTTAAATAATACATGCCATAAAATAATAAGGAACTATCATTTGCATAAAGAATGAAAAAAAAAATGAGCAAACTGAGTAGCATTTAGGAATTGAAGTTCATGCTTTGCTTGATTGGCTGCTTTGTCAAGAATCTCCCATTTACCAATTTGGGCTGCTCTTAATTGGGACATCCTTTTTACGTGTGCTAAATGGAGACCAGTGGTAGCAGTAGGTAAGTAGGGTGTTCTTCCCTTTTGCATATGTATAAGAGATTAAGTTGGCTTTGTGCAGTGTGAACAGGTCTGTAGTATTGAGAACATGAATAATGTTAGTTTCTATAATTGCTAACATCTGGCTTTCTATAAATCTGTTAAATTACATGGAAACAGAATTAGATTTCAGTGTCATAAGTAAAGCAATTAAATGCAACTGTGTAGGCAATATGGCTTTATATTCATCTGTGAAATCCTTTTAGTTTTGAACTGTGAAATCTACTCTTCTAATCTGCACTGTGATTCTACCACATCCTATATAATGTTCAAGGAGCTCTTAATGTGATGAGGAAGGCAATATTGGTGATGCTTGGTGAAACCCCCAAAGGTGAAGTGAAAGCTTCATTCATATCTTTGTTTTCAATGAAAAATACAAATCAAACTCTATTGAGAGGAAAACAGGAGGTCTTTAAGAATGTTTTAAGTTTTACAGTAGTTGTTTGGATAGAATTCATTTGGTACCAGTTCATTCTTAGCTCACTTCATGTCAGTCTTTGTGGTTTTTACCTCCTGTGATAGTCTGGCACTTGTTAAACAATCAACTACAAGTTTTAATTTCTCTTAGTGCCACACCTTTTATACCACTGATAGTGGATATTTCAAGTACTTAGTTAGGACTAAGAGCAATAATGTCCTTTTCTAGCAAATATGACTGTCAGGACAGCAAAATACACCATTTTTAGGCAAGTCTGAGTGACAATGCTTAAAAATGCTTTAAAATCTCACAGCTCTCACTGCAAGGGAAAGAACACTGCATGAACTCCCTAGATAAATTCATATTGCATTATAATATTTTACCCTCCAAAAGCAATTTTAATGGGATACTGTAATTCACTTTGGTGTATAATGATTTTCTCTTGTCATCAAGTCTTTGTGTCATTGCTAAATCATACTTTTCCTGCATAGGTTTAAGACTTTTTTTTTCCTGTATCAGGTGCCTCTGATTTCTTGATTTCTTTATTTATTTCATTTTCTCTTTTTTTTTCTCCTTTTTTTTTTTTTTAAAGTCATTTGCACTTTCCAGGAGTGGGAAAGGGATGCAACTGGCTGCTTTTAATATGGGAAATATTGATCATACTAGGAACTTATGAAGAATATTGCACTTCTATTTTGATGTAAAATCCAGAACAGAGATTTGGTCTAGTTGACAGAAAGTCACTCTGGTTGCTTGCTAGTTTCCAGTCACTGGGAAATCACTCTATACCCTTTTCTGAAGGTTCAAGTTTGTCACTGATATATGTTCCACTAGCTATGTCAGACTCAGCTTTTACAATTAAGCCTGGTGGAGGTAGTTTAAGAATTCTTGGTGGAATCAAAAGAAATGCTGAAGAATAACCTAAAAAACATCAGTGTCTAATGACTAGCAAGTAACTGTGAAAGATAGAAAAAGGAATGCATCCTCATCCACCATCAAGACAGATAAGCAATAATCACTTAATGCAGAAATAAAACTTGCCCCGTGAAAAAAAATGTCCAAAGCTTTATTAATCTACTGTTTTGCAGATATCGATGAGTGTGCCTTAAAGACCCACACCTGTTGGAATGACTCAGCCTGTGTGAACCTGGCAGGAGGCTTTGACTGCCTTTGTCCATCTGGACCATCTTGCACTGGAGACTGTCCCCATGAAGGTGGTTTCAAGAGGAACGGGCAGGTGTGGACCCTGAGAGAGGACAGATGCTCTGTTTGTTCCTGCAAGGTGAGATCCAGCTGGTCTGGCTTTCAGGAGTCCTTTCATTCTCTGGGCTCATGTCAGAAACCCAAGATTTCAGTGCTACTGTTGTTGGCAAAAATACTGAATAATGGCTAACCCTGCTGAGTTTCTCCCATGTCACCCTGTAGGCCAGAGCCTCTCAGAGTGTGCCTTTCAGAGGGTCTTGCATTCCCCTCTAACACACATGCAGGTGATCAGCACACTCATTGAAAATGCTGAAAACTGGTTTTAATTTCTCTTTCATATGAATATGTATCTCTCAGGACAAGAACTCTAGTCAGTCAACTTCCTGTTGGGGGTGTTTCCCTTTACTTGGAATACATGTGGATTAACTGGGTGAGAAGAGAGGTCTGAGCATGGGTCAAAGGTTAGAGGACCCAGCAGCAGGCACTTAATTTCCTCAGGTGAAGAAGGTTGAAGACCACCTTTCTCCTCCTCATCCCAGCTTGGCTGTGTGTGCAGCTCTCTCTGCATCTTTGGAGAAGAAAGGTCTAGTATCAGTAGATATACCTTAGAGTTAACACTTAGATCAAAGTAGTTTTTGTTTGTTTGTATGTTTGTTTTTCCTCTGGAAATTATCAGGGTTTTTTTTTCTAAGTATGGTAACCAAGCTAGAAGAACATTTGGCTCTGCTTTCCTAATTTCCCTTAGTTAACTAAGGAATGGTGTCATTGAAATCAGAAGAATTGTAGTAATGCCCTAACCTGAGAAGTAGTTGAACTTTTATGGCCACTTTGACCTGATTCTTTCATAGGTTAGGTAAAGCTGTCCTTAGGCACAGCAGAGCACTGTAGGCCTATGCATCAGTGCAAGTACAATTAGATTTTGGCCACTGTGATAAGCTGAAGATGGAGCATAAGAATTGGCTTATCAGTCTCCATGTCTCAATGGCTAGAGAAGCTTGAGAGGGTTTGAGGGGGACAGAGGGAAGAGGTGTTTTGAAGTAGCAAGAAGCTGAAAGCCTCATCATTTCTGCTTTGTAGTGGTATAGCAGAAGGGAAAATTAAGACTTCAGAGTGAATAGAACCTGCAAGGTACACTGCTGTTTTGGGCTCAAAAGGGAATATATTATTGTTAGTTGCTATATTTTTTTACTTCAAGGAGCCTCAAGCTCCCCAAAACTCCTCCTTTCAGAAGCTGAAGTGTACAACTCTACTGGATATATATCAAGCTTTTATGGTAATCTTGGGGAACTGGCAGGTTTATGAAAGGATTTCCAGTCAATAGAATAAACAGTTTAATACATGTGAAGACATCTGGTCTGCCTTTGTAGAACTATAACTATTAGTATTCCCCATTTTAGATTGCTTGTAATTTGTTTTATTTGCCATTTCTCATTGCACTTATTTCTTGTGTTGAATGTTCTTATTAGTATATGAAAATATACAAATGATTAACTAGTACATGGATATTTTAAACTAAGCCTGACACTGTTTGTTGCTATGACTCTTCCTTTATATCTTCCTCACTTCAGCTTTCTCCTCTGTGAATTAACATTTGCATTTAATTTCATTGCAGTTAGCTGCCTATTTCATGAGCCAAATTCTTGGCTATAGAACAGGGAAAACAAGGAGAGCTCCTTCTCTATCACATCTCAGGCAGAATGAATAAGTCTTCACTCAGTGTTTACTGAAATGTATTTTTATACATCATGATAGCTTCCAATAGACCAGACTACTTCTCAAACCTATCCTTTTCACACAGTGGCATGGACAGCTGGCCCTGCTCAGTTTGCAGTGAGGAAAAGAGCAGAGTGTAACTAAACCATTCCTTACACTACTTACTCAAACTTTGAAATGATCCTACTGACTTGTTTTATCCAGGAGATTAATCAGCATTTCAGTTTTAAAATAACGTGTTTTCTTTTAGCTTTTCTTTTGCCACAGTTATTTTAGGAAGGGTCAGGTAGATATATTCTGTGCATTGACTGAAACACATAGATAGCATCTTGAAAGTATTTTAGCTTATAATTATGAGCTTATATATAGCTTATTATAAGCTTATAATAAGCAAAGGAAATGAAATACCTTATTTAACCTTACTTAATAAACTTCAGGGTTATTTGTGAAACAGGATACTATGGATTCTAAGAAATTACATTGCTTCAGTTATATAATGATGCAAATTGTCATTACTAAAGCACAGGGTATTTCAAGGTTTCACTGGACCCAGTCTCTTCAAACCTTCCTTGTTCATCTGAATGTTTATAAAGTGTAGAGAATCAAAGATGTGAGATATTGTAGCTTAAAGAGGTTTTGTGTCACTGCAACAGAAGGATAAAAATGTTCTTTGAAAGGCATAGAGCTAATGAGGTTATAGGCAAGACACAGATGCTTAAAAACTAGAGAGTAGCAGTGTATTATGATTACCAAAAGTTCTCTGGCAAGATCATTAGGCTTTGTCAGTGTTCTGAAATATGGAGAGTAAAGGCAATGTAAAAGGAGCTCAGGGAAGCACAGAACTACCAGCACTGTCACCAGCCGAAAGAGGAATTTTGAGAACTAATTTTGATAGCTTAGAAACTGAATTGGATCCAAGCAGACAGGTTATTGTTAGCCATTATTAACCAGCACTTCATTATGAAGAGGGGAGAGACTGTTCTGGTTGAGGTTGCCTGGGTTCCTGGCAGAACTTCACATGCCTGGAGCTGGTCATCCTGGGAGAACTCTTGTGCTGAGCTGATTCCTGATGTGCACCTGGACCTGGCTGAACCTGTGGCTAAGGAAATGGGCAACTGCCATTCTTCCTTGTGGTTTACTCAGACTGCTGAGTAAGGAAATAAAGCTTGTTTATTCCTCCCCCACAGCTAGAACTGCAATCTAGATAATAGTACAGAATCCTTTGTTATCTTAATTTGATACAACACTGAATGTTTGCCCTACAGTTGGCAAAAGCAGTTCTGATCCATGTTAACCTGGCATGTTTTCTACATTTCCATAATTCTGTGTTATCCTCAGCTTTCCTTGTTAGGCATAAGAAATCATTTTAATAATTCCTCAAATAGCAAACAATGTTTTAATCCATTCAAAACTGTGATGAAATGCAGCCGTGACACTGACTGATGTTCATATTTTGATTCCCTGATGCTAATTTTGTACATGTTGCATTGTAGCCAAGACTGACTTTGCTTTAAAACAATAGCCAAACACAGATTTCTACCTCAAATCTTAAGCAGGCAAACCCCCCATGGCACATGCTGAGCAACCTGGTCTAGTGGAAGGTGTTCCTGCCCATGGCAGCAGCTTTGGAAGAAGATGGTCTTTGAACCCAAACCTTCCTGTGATTCTGTGCTGTGGTTATGGCTGTTTTGTCTCCCTGAGAAAAAGATATCCTGGGCTGCTGTCACTCTTTTTAGAACTCACTTTTAAAGGGATCAGAGGAAATAAATTCCCTTGCTTTGATAGGTATCCCTGTATTTGGTGGCAATGAAAAGCTTTTTTTTCCTTCTTTTATCAGATAGAGGTTTATAGACCCAGAACAAAGTTCTGATAAGAATAGGAAAAGAGTGCAGTGAAATGAGTGGAGTTTTGTAGGAACTGGATAGTTGTGAACTAAAGCAGAATATACCTTCATTGTCTCACAGCTCTACCTTCAAGTTGGCTACAGTGGACACTTTGCTTGAGTTAAGGACTAACCCAATAACTAGCATCAAATGCAAAAAAAAAAGCTACTGCCAAAACTTTTCAATAATCTCCTCATTGTTAGTTGTGATTTCAGTTCCCATCCTATGTGTGTCATTTCAGTATGTTGGCTCACCTACAGTACAGGGTGTAGTTTCAATAGATAGTCCATCCAAATTTCATAACTAGAATTAGAATAAATTTGGATTTTTATGATGCAGAAGCAATTTTCCTGCTTACCTCAAACAGCTCTGTTCAATGGTCTTTAACAAAGTGAGCCATCCAATGCTGTAAGCAAATATTTAGTAGAAACATATTTTGGAAAGCCTGTGGGATCCAGGTCCTCTCTAATACACGAACTGAATTATAATTGGGGATGATAAGTCCATTTATCTTTAAGCTGGTGTGTTGTGGGTCCAGATGTGAAACAGAACCAGTGGTGAGATAACAATTTATGCTACTGTGATTTTCCTGTATTATGCCCCTATGAAGTTAAAGGGACCACCTTTATTCAACTTCTTTTCTTCACACATGATAGACTCAGTCAAAAGAGTGCTAAATACATATTATATGTATTAGAGTGGCAACTGCTTGAAGAGTTCATTGATGTAACCAATGAGATATGAAATCGCTTCGCTATGTTTCTTCTGAGATACTGTCTTCGTTTAGATTCATTTAGCTGGAGACAGGAAAACAGTATTCTCAGATTCAGGCACTGACAGAAATTGGGATAATACTGGTATTTGTGGTACAGGCAGGATCCAGTCCTTGTTGGCATTAACATCGAACACGCTAAGAACTTAGTATTTCTTGATATGCCAAGGATGTGCCCTTTGAGTTAAGGACTAACCCAATAACTAGCATCAAATGCAAAAAAAAAAGCTACTGCCAAAACTTTTCAATAATCTCCTCATTGTTAGTTGTGATTTCAGTTCCCATCCTATGTGTGTCATTTCAGTATGTTGGCTCACCTACAGTACAGGGTGTAGTTTCAATAGATAGTCCATCCAAATTTGCATCTGCACCCTGTGACCTTAGCTGGGTTGGTGTCTGGCAGTTTGTGGCTGATGTCAGGACAATGTGTGCTCGCAGGACGGGAGGATTTTCTGCCGGAGGACAGCCTGTGACTGCAAGAACCCCAGTGCTGACCTCTTCTGCTGCCCGGAGTGCGACACTCGTGTCACCAGCCAGTGCCTCGACCAAACTGGGCACAAGCTCTACCGCAGCGGGGACAACTGGACCTACAGCTGCCAGCAGTGCCGCTGCCTGGTATGGGTGAAACGTTTTGGAAGGGAGTAAAAATAATAATAAGGATTATGACTTTTAGCAGAACATACATGGAAGCAGGCTCATGGCTCTTTCTCCACCTGCTCTTCAGACTGGGGATGATGATAAAGCACTTACAGAGCCCCAGAGAACTGAAGGCCACACAATCAGGTTTCCTCTTATTGCTGAATAAGTAGGTCCAATGAGCAAAATTAAAAGTTTGACAAAAGCTTGGAAGTCAGTTTTCCTCTTACTGCTGAATAAGTAGGTCCAATGAGCGAAATTAAAAGTTTGACAAAAGCTTGGAAACCTTGACACTGTATTCATTTTAGCATTAGTCTACTTCTGAGAGCTTCTGTAAGGTTATCTGACTTTTTCAGATTTTTTTCACATGGGATGGATTTGGCTGGAGAAGTTTCAGCTTTTAATTACACCAGCTGGTGTACCTGTCTTCTCAAAATGGGCTTTTTTTGTTGGTTTTTCTTTCATTCAGCTAATGCTGAAAACTTTGCCACTTGGTAAATTAGAAAAAATTACCCAAATAAAGAAGGATAAAGAAAACTGAAATTACTAGACAAACATACAAAATAAAGAACACTTATTTTCTCATTAAGCACTGTTGATTATTTCCTTAAAGCTTTTAAGTTTTCCACAGATATCCTAATTAGTGCATCAATGAAGTTCATTAAAATTATCAGTTTTCCATTTATAACTGTCTGTATAACATAGTCTTTATATATGATACTAATCAAGAGGTGTCTGAGCATCAGGAAGGAAATTACATTGAAAGCTAAGTTACTGTCAAGAGATAATTATCCATAATGCACAAAGTATTGAGATTGTGGCTAGCAGTTCATTGCCTAATTTTGTGATTGGGATAACATACAGAGCTGTAAGAGACAGTGATGCCCTGATTCACTGCTCCATGTAAGGTTCTGCATAGTGTGTGATCTCAACATCTGAAGTGTTTACAGAGTGGCATAATGCAAGTTACTCAAGCCCTTTGCAGGTTAAATGTAGACACACACAGCAATACTCTGCAGAAGTGACCTCATGTTCCTCTCGTCACGATGCCTCTGTCTACTAAACTGTTTTGGGTTTTGTGTTGATTTTTTTGACAAAGCTAAATAATGAAATATAGTGACTCAGTTAGCTCATAAATGGTATTGCTCTAACAATTTGTTTAGCAGTTGACACTAAAGTCAATGCTGGCTGCTGCTAGTTAGATCAATGTTCAATGCTTCTTGAACATACTAACCTACATCTATCTGCAGTGTTAATTTTCTATTGAAACACTTGCTGTGATCCTGCAGAGATATTTGTGACCTGGAGTAGAAAGAGTGAGTGAGTTGGCAAGGCAACCACTGCAAAAATTATAGTTTGTGGAAAATATTGGAACCCAGTATTTAACCCTGCCTCCAAAAACCCCAAAGAACTCGAGTTCCCCTGCTACGATGATGACAGTGTTGTTTAGTCAAGAAACAACCAAATGATAATTTGCTACATTTAGGAATCTTCAGCTCAGTATTCAAACATGCATTTGTATGATCAGCCAAAATGAGAGCTGATTCATTCAGTTTGCTTCAATTTTGGCAAAACAAAACTTTTCCCCTCCACAGGATACAAAGTTTCTTGGTAGTTAATAAATGGCAACAAATTCAATGAGATTTGCTTCACTTTTTATAGGAAGGGGAGGTGGATTGTTGGCCTCTTCTGTGCCCAAATCTGAACTGCGAGTACACAGCCATCGCAGAAGGAGAGTGCTGTCCCCACTGTGTCAGTGACCCCTGTCTGGCTGACAACATCACCTATGACATCAGGAAAACCTGTCCAGATGGCTATGGAATCACAAGGCTTAGTGGCGCCGTATGGACAATGGTGGGATCTCCTTGCACGACCTGCAAATGCAAGGTATGAAGGGCCAGGTAGAATGGTAATGGAAATGTACATTGCTGCATAAAACTGGGGTCGAGTTTTGTCCTTGGATTAAGATCTCGAGGAGGTAAATGAGCTCTGAGAGCCTACAGAAAACCCACATCTCTTCTGTCTCGCAGAGTGTAAGCAAAACAATTCTGTCCTTGTTGAAAATGTGGAGCATAGATATGTTAATATCCTAGTGCAACTTGCAGACATTCTGTTGGAGTGCCCTTCAGGCATTCTCAGTATGAATCTAGGCTAACATTTTAATAATTGCCTAATGTAGGTGTTCATGAAAATGTGTATTACAGAGATGGTAAGCTGAGGCAAAAACACTAACAGAAGTTTCACTGGCAAGTACAAAAGTAAAAAAGCATTGCAGCTCAGAGATGAAGATACTCCTACAACAGTAATGAGAAGAGAATGTCACAGTTTCTGTTCCCTGATCTCATCGAGATGTATTTAATCCAATGGCACTAATGCAGAAGTGCAGACTTTCTCCCTTGCTTTGTGCATTGATGACCCCACTGTGCTAATATCAGAATTATGAAAATGTTGTTTTGGGTTATATAAAATGTTCTTTGTTCACTGTGGGAGAGCAAGCTCTTGCTCAAGGGCTTTAAATTATTGAAGGTAGCTTTTCTGCCATTCTTTGGAGTATTTTCCTATTGATTTGTGTTGGATTTTTAAAAAAAAGTTTAAAAATTGCTCCTTTGGGCTCTTAGTGGTTGCTGTAGTTTTTTATTACATAAGATAGCTTTATAAATGACTGGATTGTAGAGAAAGATATTTAACAATGGATTAAACTCCAGAGCTGCATGGTGTGTGTCATCCCTGTCCCCCCATATCTGCCATGAATCAAGAATCTGAGCTATCTGCTAATTTGAGACAAAGAGAAAACTTCCCTGTGTGGATCATATCAAAACTCCATTAACTTTCTTGCATGGGAGAAAAATCCAATCATCTCTGTTGGCATTGCTGTGCTGTATTTTATTATGGGGACCACATCCAGGTTTCTAGTTCCTGTGTAGTTTAGGGCAGTTCAGTGCTATTTGGCAGAGTCAGCGTCCTCGAAAAGGCACCACAGTTGAAACCAATGACAACACCCTGGGATCATAGTATCACATCATCATAGTATGTTAAGGGGTTGGAATGGACCTTAGAGATCATCCCTGGGCAGGGACACTTCCCACTAGATCAGATTGCTCAAGGCTTTGAACACTGCTAGGGTTGGGGCATCCATAATCTCCCTGGGCAACCTGTGCCAGTGTCTCACCACCCTCACAGGAAAAAACGTCTTCCTAATATCTAATCAAAATTTCTCCTCTTTCAATTTGTACCCTTAACTCCTTGTCCTACCACTACAATTCCTAACAAAGAGTTCCTCTCCAGCTTCCTTGTAGCCCCTTCAGATACTGAAAAGTTGCTATGGGTGATGGCAGCAGGATTTTGTAGGCAGTAGATGTGTCAGAGATGGATCTATCTCTGCATGCAACCAACCCCTTTGCTCTTTGTGACTTTTTGCTGCAGAGGTGATTGACACCTGCTTGTTTGTCTGTGCAGAATGGGAACGTTTGCTGCTCGGTGGATTTAGAGTGTCTCAACAATAACTGATGTAGTCAGTCTGGACTGTGCTGAGGGAGGAAAACGATGAAGTTAACACCTGAAATGAAGTCGTATGCGTCGGCGTTTTATACAACAGACGATTACCAAAGTCTCCACATGAGGAAGATGTTTGGGAGTTGCCTTTGGGACCTATCACTATGCTCATCCTTGCTAGCCTTGTCTGGGTGACTTACAGTACAGCGCATATAAATCAATGGTTGCTAAAAGATTTAAGTGTTGTAAATGACACACTTTTCCTGTCAAGAAATTTGCAAATATGTTTCAATTATTTCATGGGTAAACTAATGCTGTATTTTTTTGTTTTGATTTGTGTATTGACAACATGGATAGAATTCAGCTCTTCTTACTTTGAATCTAGATTTTACAAATAAGACAACCTGTCGTGATTTTGTCCCATGATATCACATACTTAGTTCCAAGGTCCCTGTTAGATGTATTTATGAAAATATGTATGTATGTACAGTCAAATTGCATAGTACTTATATTTCACAGCTGTCCAACATTTTAAAGCATTCAAAGGTATGGACAGAATGGGAGTAATCAAAATAAGTCTGTCTTAAAAAAAAAAAAATAAAAAATGAAATGCCATGAACTTAATGAAATGGCAGCAAAAGCACTTTCTTCTCTAAACATGCAGAACAACAAGATTCCTATAGTGAGAAACGGAACTAAACCCACATTCCACTGTCAGTTCAATACATATTCAGGAAAGAATCACTGGTCATTATCAGTATTCTGTTGAGTCTAGTACCTCTGGATTATACAGTGATAACATAGTTGGAGCCCCTTAAGATGATATAATGTAAGTTGCCTAGGTTAGAATTTGCTTTCATTTGTTACATCCTTGATGAGTTGAGAATTTTTCATTCTTTGTATTTACAGTAATGATGATGTCTGCCATTCCCAGTTCCTGCTGCCATAGTGACAAAGTGCAGCCTGTACCAGCACCATGCAGGGCAGGAAATCTTATGCTTGGTAACTTCCATTACCTAATTAACAGCTCAGAAACAAGATTTTATCTTTTCATATTTTATGACATTTGCAAAGATTTAGTTTTAAATTCGCAGTGTTATTGAGTACCTAAGTTTAGTCAGAAATATAAATTAAAACTCTTAGCCCTGTGTCGAGGTTAGAGTTTAGATTCTTTTCAACTGATGTCTATTTTTTTCACGAGGCTAGAAAGTTTGTGGCATTAGAAAGGGAATATATTTCTATGGTGATGCATCTCCAGCTTAAATGTCACATTTTAAATGTGCTGTTGTGTTTTGTTCTGCTCATTCGTGTGGTGTTTTTTTTTTTCTTTTTGTTTATGTCATGGAACACACTGAGTACATGGAAAAGATTGCAGAAATAAGTATAGTGGCTACAGTTTGGAAAGTCTACATTTGTGAGTTTTTCATAGTTTCATGCAGAAAATGTGAAACTGATTAATAAGAATGAAGTGTGACTATACAGTAAAAAAGTTAGTCGTCTTTTAAATGAGGTACTATTATGTTTATAAGGGGACAGTGGCAAGGAATATAAAAATTGCTTTCACTCAGACAACTTTATTCTCATTTTTTTTAAAACAGATTTTGTTTTAGTTAACAGGTTTGTGTGGTAAAGTTATATTTATTTTCTTAAAATGCCCCATCATGTTCAGCTACTAATGTATTGACTCTATTTGCATTGCCCCAATGATTGTATAATAAGG